TCCCACCCCTCTCACTGCCCAGCCTTGTCAGAATAGGACTGTGGCTACCTTCAGTGAGGTCCTGCTGCTCTTCAGTCATAACAAAGATACGAATGGAAGGGAAGCCTTTCTCCTAAGCAGCTCAATGCCATTTGACAAGAAACTTTGTAAACATCATCTCATGTGGCCAACACTTCAAAACCCCTGTCCCTCAAATCACTCTGGCCCTTGATCCAGTTTTAAATGAGACTTTTGGTGCCAGAAGCTTGTTAGACATCTGGTTCTACTTGACTTTGCAGGGGGGTCATTAAGGGTGGGAATGCAGCTACTTCAACTAAAACCAAACCCTCTTACTCAGAAACACACATCAAATCGGATCCTGTGGAACTGCATTTCAAAACAGTAAGGGAAAGCCAGACAATGAAGATGAAGAGAGATAACCACCAAGAGAGACCCAATGCAGAGACCGTGGCCTTGACCCCAGGCCTGGCAGGGGGCACTGCAATCCCACCCTCAGCCCCACCAGCCACCCACTGTACAGCAGGTACCCAGGCCAGAGACCTGGAGGCAACTGGGCCTTAGTCCTCCTCTTCCCCCAGCCAACAATCTCCTAGTGCTCTTGGCTCTTCCACAGACAAGTCCCTCTGCCCACCACTCCAACTTTGTCTAAGTCATTCCTGCCTCCCTCAGTTCCTGGAGAGCTCTTCTGACTGGCTCCTGGTACCAAAACTTGCCTCTTTTAACAAAACTTGCCTCTTCTCACCACCATAGCTACTGAGAACTTCTCAAAACACAGATCTGGTGAAGACCATCCAATGACCTTAGGATAAAGACCAAAGTAATTTGCAGACCCTAAAGCACCCATCCCTTCAGTTCGGGGTTCCAATCCCTCTGCCTTTCCACACACCCTGCCATCTCCCCCCTGCCCCTCACTGTGCACCTTCACCTAGCTCAGACTTGTTCACCCTCCAGTCTGATGTGAGTCTCTGCAGTTATCCTTCAGTTTCCAGCTGCAGCCTCACTCCTTGAGGAATCCCCTCATGGCATGCTCCCCTAACTGCCCTGACTCAACCGCAAAATAGATTCCTTTGTTCCAAGCTGTGATTGAGCTGTGGGCTTTCCTTGTCGGTACTTATCATACACACTTTTGGAAGGTGATTACTTGTCTGAGGCTTATCTTCCTTATTGAAGCAAAAGTACCATAAGAAAAGGGGTCTGCTATCTTTTGTACTCCCTAACATAGTGCCTGGTGCACACAAGGCCCTCATCTTGTTGGATGAAATAAATGAGTGAGTGCGATTTCCCTACAGGTGACCATAAGTATGAACGCTGATACTCAGTGGTCCCCAGTGGGTCCCAATTTTGGCCCAGTGATAGGTGTCCATGGTCACAGAATGTTCATCTTATCTAACATCAGGGCCCTGGTGAGGGACTATTTGGGGATATTAACATGGCTCTTATGCATTTGCTAGGGTCAGGTCGCTGCCAAGTTTGGGTTGTTTGTTTTTCATAATAACCCCATAATTTGGGATTTGTAAGACATGCCATAGTGAAGAGAAAAGGAGGAGACAAAGGAAGGAGGGAGGGATAAACTATAAACCATAACTATGAAATATTGTGAAAATAGCAAAAATGAGACAATCAAGACAGATGCCATGCACACAAATCTGCTCCTCAAAGTTAAGATCACATTTGAAACAAAATCAGCAGGGAAATTACTTTGAGTAGTCAGAAAAACAACAAAACCAAACTAAGAAGAGCAGGAGGAAAGAAATCACATAAGATAGGAAGGAAGAACTGAATGAAATCAGAAACAGAGACTGAGTAAGGAGACCTGTGTGGCCAGCCGTCCAGTGGTTCCCCACCCTCCTGTCCACATTAATCCCCAGTATCTTCCGGTCTCCCATCTCTTCAGAACTCCATTAAAAGGACCTGACACCACTCCCTGCAAGGAAAAAGCAGTGACATCAGAGGAAAGGGACATCTAAAGAAAACAGAGATCTAATTTAAGATACGAAGATAGACTTCCAGTTGATACAAATGTCAATCTGCATGAGAAGGTGGAAGAGATCCGGGCTTCTATGAGACTGCAAGCCTGAGTCGGCAAGGTCACAGACCCTGAGTCATAAGTTGCGGGGCTTTGCCCCAGTGGATCAAAAAGGCAGAAAATGCATTATAAGGGGACAAAGGAAGCCGGTATTTACTAAGCTGCTTTGTGCATGTTTATTGAATCTGCAAATTAATTCTAGGGACAAGGTAAGAATATTACCACCTTGAAAGTTCAAGCCACTGCCCCAGAGTCACACAGCTTGTAATGCAAAAGCAAGGTGTCAGCCTCTGAAGCAATCTTTCTTCTTGTCTTTAGTTGTCCCTGAAGATGCAGGGAAGCCAGCTGCCATCAGGATTTGGGATGAGTCTACCTGGAGTAGAAGTAAGAGAGAGCTGAGGTAGATAAATCAAAATGCAAGAAGATACAGAAGAGTGGGAAAAAAGGGTGCCAAGCTCAAGGTCTCCCCATAGTCAACCCCAAATGAACTCTGCTCCCCACTGTATTCTAATCCTTACTATGCATCAAACAAAATATTTTATCCATTCTAAGACATCTACCCCCAAAAAAGTACCTGTCTAAAGTCAGGATGCATCTTCCCATGCCAGCATCTTGAATTGGATATTACCCAAGTTAGCCATCTCCATGTGGTTGTCACTACCCAAGCAAGCAGATTTCTGTAGATATCCAAGTTGTCAGCACTTCAGCTACATTGTGTCTCCTATCTGCAGAGTTTAATTGCTGTTTATAATGTTCTGCTAAATTTATACTGTGATTTCATATTGAAACAGACCTCCATGGGCACACTGCAAGGCACACAAACAACTGGGGCACTATTCTTCCATCAACGACACAAATGTTAGTACTTGAGCACCAATTGTGATTTCATGTTCTCTGTAAAGCAAAGGAGCTTGGGTGCCTGAATTGCATAGCTCTCAGTTGTCAGGGTTTAAATTGCCTCCTTCTTAGGTGAGGAGTAGTGGGCTCTCCTCAGCTTCCCATCCCTTTGGGGAAGTCAATGGATGAAGTGAGTCCCCAAAGAGCCATTCAGAGAGCTCTCATTTAAGGACCCAACCCATCCATCCCTGAGCCACAGCACAGGGGGAATATGGAAGACAGCCCAGGAGAGAATAGATAACAAAGAATGAGGAGCCTGTAGTGTCCAGCAGCCTCCAGAACGGTATTCACAGTCCAGTTAAAAGCCAGCCAGAAAGGTTACAACAGGGCACCTCATCCACTCAACAAGCCAGTATTAATATCCAGGGTCAAAGCCATTGTGGGAGTACAGACCACCACAATGCAACCACAAACACAGACTTACTGATTAGGTACAACTGAGCAACTGAAGATGGCAAACTCCATCTCCTTGAGGTAGGAGTCCAAGGTGAGAAAGAGAGGCTTCCTGAGAAATTGACCCTGTGAACCCAAGTCTCATAGCTCACATGTCTACGGCTCTGTTATTCCTCCTCCTCCCCCTTTTCCTCCCTCCTCCTCTTCCTTCTCCTCCTCCTCTTCTTCTTCCTCCTCCTTCTTTTCCTCTTTCTCCTTCTCCTCCTCCTTCTTTCTCTTCTTCTAGCACTCCAATCTCCAGGGCATTGACTTTATTTTCAAACATGGTAGAAAAATACCACATCTATGCAGATCAGCATGGTCCTTGGGGGACTGGGGATTCAGCTCAGTGGTTCTGCCACCTGCCTCACAAGCACAAGGGCCCAAGTTCGATCCCGGTACCAAGAAAAAAAAAAAAAAAAGAATGGCCCTTAATGCCAGAAGTCTTAGAAAATGCTTTTTTTTTTTTTTCTTTTCATACAGCCATGTAGATTCCTAAGAAAGGATTCTGCTTGGCTAACTGGAGTTACTAGGTAATACCATACCACAAAACCCTGACTGGAACTCCAGAAAATTGTGTTAGGAAAACAGAGAGAGGAAGGAGCCGACACAACATCTGTGGGATCTTGTTCTGGATCCTTTGAGGCCCAGTCTAAGGCCCTGCCTGTCTGATTTTAAAAGAAGTGTCTCACACTAGCCTGTGTCTCCTCTCCTTATGTCTGAGCCACATCGTGTCACTCTTGACACCTGGCCCTTGTCCACCTTGGCCCCAGCAGCTATGCTGCTTGGTTGCTGCCTTCCTTTTCATGTCTCTGTTTCTCTCTGCTCCAAAACTTTGTCTGGCACAGGGAGTTGGCTTGCCTGTCTCAGGCACAACCCCAGCAAGCAGGGGGATGCAGTTCACAAAGAGAGAAGGGATTTGATGGGCATATCCCAGCCACCCAATGTCTGCCAGGCCAACCCCAGGCCACTGAGCTGCCACTGAGCTGCATTAGTTGCTCTACAATCCCCACTCATTAATAGATTTATCTCCACTCCTTTCTTCTACTGTCTTATTTAGCTTCCTACATAACTCGTAGAACCAAGATTCTGTGCTCTGGTCTGCTTTTGAGAAAATCCAAACCAAGAAAGCCAGTATGTTAGCCAATTTTCAACTGTTACAACTACAAACTGTTTCAACTGGTAACAAATACCAGAGATAAATAAGCAATATATAAGAGGAAAAGCTTTATTGGGCTCACAGCTTTAGAGGTTTTAGTCTATGGTCAAGGAGACCTGGTGATCTGGAGACCTGGAGACTATAACCTCCTACAAGGACACCCACCCCAGGGACCTAAAGACCTCACACTGGGTCCCACTTCTTTAAATTCCTACAGGCCCTGAAAGCAAGGCTCTGGGGGTCAAGCCTTAAACAGATGAGCCTTTGGGAGACATTTAAGTCCAAACTACAGCACATACTTAGACTAACAACCAGGACAAATACAAAAACAATGTGAAATGTACCAGTAAGACCCAGACAACACTGGTCCCATCATGAAAGAGGATTTCCAGAGGCATCAACCCTGCATCCCACTTATATTTAGTTGTCCCCTAGTGCATAACAAAGTAGACACTCAGAAAATATATGTTCAAAGGAATCAGGCTTCCTCCAATTTTTGGCAGAGACCAGGTTGTGGTCTTGCTCCCTCTGATATAGAAAGGCAGAAGGAAAGGGCTCCGGCCACCTCAGAGTCAAGGCTTCAGTGCCAGCGGCTTCCCATCTATCGGTTTTATCCTCAAACACCAGAACACGGAGCAGGACTGGACCAAGATCCAGTGAGTCATCCCCTGGGGGTACTCATGCCTTCTTTAGTTTTGAATCTGTGGATGTGACCCCAGGAGCTCTCTTCCATTTACCACTACAACCAATCAATAAAGGCAGTTTGAATGTTTTTTAAAAACTCAAACTGCTGTGTGTGTGTGTGTGTGTGTGTGTGTGTGTGTCTGGCCAGGAGATGTGTACCCTGATTATATAGCTATGTTTTAGCTGAATGCTAGTTGATCTTGTCAGCAGGGAAAACACTAGAGTATTTTTAACCAGGGATCTAAAAACTGTGTTAAGGATGCTTCACACAGTTAGAAGAATAAAAAGAGAGTAGTCAACAAGTGATTAAGAGAAAGGTGGTAGTGTCTCCACCCTTTCCCATACCTTATCCTGACCAATGAGTATGTAATCAAGACACCCTTGTCCCCTAGGGTCAGATTCCTAGGTCTGGGAGCTTGCGTACTTAAGTAAGCACCCACTTGTGAACAACTTTTACAGCCGACTTTTGGTTCTAAAGACCATGGTAGCCAGTGGCAACATTTATTTAAGCTAACAGTTGAAAGCTACCTCCAGTCTTCCAGGTTGAGCCATTATGAAGGTAAAAGAATTATGAGAATCACAGCCTTTGAAGACTAAGGTTTAGGTACCCTCTTTCCACAGGGGGAAGTGGGGTCCTACTATGCTTACAGATTTCTCCATTTTTGTGAGGCACAAACTCCAGAGTCAGTCGGCTGCAGGGGAATGGCTCTCCCAAGCCTTGTCACCATGCAGATTTATTGTTCAGAAGACTTGGCTTTGGTAAATTCTAGACCCAGAACATTCATGAATCTTCTCTCCCAGTGAGAGCGAGCGCCTTCTCCCTTGAATTCAGAAGGAGAGAATTCCTGCAAGATAAATAGATGCACACCCTCTCTGCAATATTTTATACAGGTACATGATTTGGGAAATTAGGTCAGAGGAGGGAGGGAAAACGGTGATTCATTACCAGGGCTGCATAGAGGCAGGATTACCTCATCAGAAATTCAAAAGTAATCAGTTTTTCCCAATTGTCATGGTAATGAATCACCATTGTTAATAAATTGGGAAGTCAGTTACACCTTTGAGTAGCTGGATAAACCAGAGTTGCCTGGCATCTGTCTTCATTAGAAAAGAGCCAATGACATGTGGACGGAGAAGAGGATGCTGGATGAGCTGGATTCTCTTCCTTACCTGAAGGTGAAGAAACTCGACCTTCTTCTTAGCATCATCATCACTGCAGAGTGACCCAAGGCCAAACTCATCCAAACACAGCTTTCAACCTGAAGTCACCCATCCAAGATCAGTCACAGTCCCCTGATGAAAAATCAAAGGCAGCAGCAATTTATTTATTTAATGGAGATATGATGGCAGGAAATAATTTCTGCACATCACTCAGCACAGGCAGAGGTCTTTATTAGAATAGATTTCTCTCCCTGCCCCCATGCAAATGAAAACCAGAAATGGAGTTCACCCCTCATCCTCCTCCATCTCTCTGAGTCCTGAGGGTTTGGTCTCATGGCAGATCACATCAAACCCAGTGGATGGAAAAAAGTAGTCAGGTTCAGAGCTCACCGTGGCATTTTATGACTCAATGAGGCAGCAGTTGAACCTCCAGCTCCAGGGGATAAATCAGCTCAAGCTCCATCTGCCTTCAGGACAGACAAATCTTTGGTCATGGAGTCGTCAATAATCCAAACATAACTTGGAATGCGGTTATAACTCTTTATTACTTTTAGGACCTCCAGAAAAAAAAACTGAGACGAATTCTGATCTATATGATATGGTAATGGCATTTGACAAGTTCCTATTTATTCAAGGGGTGGGGGATAAAAATGTTTGTGTCTGATCATTGTGTCAAAATCCTGCAAGTCATTTTCATTTCTCTCTCTGGGACAAGATTTAAAAGCAAACCTCGATACATTCTGTCATATGATCCTGGTGCTGAGAGTTCGAAACATTTCAACAGTAATTTAATATAGTGCATTTGAGAAACAGGCATATGACAGAGGAGAGAGAGTATGAGAGAGAAAGAGAGACAGACAGAGACAGAGACAGAGGGAAAAAGAGCCCTGGACAATGGGGAGATTACCTCTCTGGAGACAAGATAAATAGCAAACCTGTTACTGCTGAGTGTCTCATTTCCCCCGGGGAAGAGAGCTGTGTCTGACATCTTCCACAGCCTCACAACGTAGGAGGAGGAGGCCGCTGGAAAGGCCCACATCCCAACCTTGCTCTGGCCACCGCCCCCCATAGGCACACCATGGGAATGGGCTCCCACAATTCTCCCCTGCTGGGAGGGGCTCAAGGTAAATTCATTACTTATTCAAGGAGGTCTCCGCGGCAACTGTGACACTAGCCCTCTCCCCTAGTGCCCTGGCGTGCACATTCACGGAGGTCTTAGACCCTTCCCCTTTCCAGCCCACGCCCCATTGTACTTCCTCTTGCACTCTTCCCTCCCTTCTCTGACCTCACATCCAAAGCTGAAAGTGGTGGGAAGCCGTGCAGGGCGACAGACCATTCCAGCTCCTTTCCTCTACCCTATAGCAGCTCCCACCAGAGCTTTAAGATGCATGTGCAGTTTATGAGTTACATTTTAGAGAGAGGGAACTGAGCATAGGCTAAGTGGTCAGGACTTCGGGCAGCAAGAAGCCCAGCCTCCAAAAGGACCATACTTGGGCTATTAGGAAAAGCCTACAACCATCCTGGGTCTCTAAGTCAAAAGAAATAAAAGTTCAAGCAACTGTTCTTCCCTCTCTCTCTGTCAGAAGGCACTGAGCCTATCTAAAAGCCCTGCCACTTATCTGAGGGTTAAAACACATGGGTAGGTGCACATTCTCACACACACACACACACACACACACACACACACACACACAACTCGGCCACTGGTTTTCTCTTTCCCTGTGTTTCTCTTTCGCATCTGAAAATGATTGCTGTTGTCTAACTTGCTGCCAAGCATTATTCCATTCACCCTTGTTTTGTCTCTGGTGAGAGAAACATGACTAAGCATTATGAAAAAATGTGTTAGTGGAATGTGACTGGGTGGAATACGGGATTTTAACACAGGAAATGCTGATTCCCACTACAGAGACAGAACTCAGGGAACACACTTGTGTACCTCTATGGTAAACCTACTCCATTTCTATATCCAGACCTCCGTGTAGAGGAAGCGCTCACCTGATCCTCCATATTCTCATCTTTAGGAGGTCCTCACAGAATTCAACAAACAGTTCCATGTGCTCAGTGATTATTTTGAAATGCAAGACAGTGTTTTGGCCTCTCTGCTCTCTTCATCCCTTGCACATTTCTTAGGATTCCTGTTTTTCTCAAAGCATCATTGTCTTGATGGTGGTTTGTGATGAGGAACCCACTCCTGGTTCCAGGAAGAAGCACATGAACCACACTTACAAAGTGATGTACTCCATTCCTTGATGGTGCTCAGTGCAGGGATGAGCTTGAAGCTAAGGAGAGGTAAAGATTGGAGCTATGCTCTGAAAAGAGCAGCACTCTGAAAAAAGATCAAAGATGATATCAGAAAATGGAAAGACATCCCTTGCTCCTGGATAGGAAGAACCAATACAGTGAAAATGGCCATACTTTCAAAACTGCCATGTAGATTCAATTCAATCCCAATTGAAATTCCAGCAGTCTGGATCTTGAGAAAACAATCCAAAAATTCATTTGGAACAAGAAGAGGCCTAGAATATCAAAAGAAATTCTAGGCAATAAAGACAAGGTAGGGGGTATCACAATCTCCAACTTAAAACTCTACTACAAAGTTATTGTGATTTAAAAACAAATCATGATACAGACAAAGAAACAGATCTGAAGATCAGTGGAACAGATTGGAAGATGCAGAAACAACTCCAGACACACTCAGCCACCTCATCTTTGACAAAGGAGCCAAACACCCTTACTGAAGGAAAGATGGCACCTTTAATAAATGGTGCTGGAAAAAGTGGGTTTCAACTTGCCAAAGATTAAATCTAGACCTATATCACTCACCATGCACTAAACTAAAATCAAAATTGATTAAAGAACTAAATATTAAAACAGAAACAGGAAACCAGCTGGAAGAAAGGTTAGCTCACACCCCCCATTAAGTTTATTGGTACATTTAAAGCAAACAATGCAGTTACATTTATCATTGGGACTTTGTACCTTTACATGATGTATCTTGGTTCTTATTTTTTCCCCAGCCCCTGCCCTCCCTTCACCCCCTTCACCCTTCCCTATTTACAAAGGCTTTGTTTCCATTTTTTTCCTTTTTTCACATTTTTCCTTTTCCCTTATTTCCTTTCCCCACCCTTCCCACTTCCCCTTTAGCCATTTTCTTACTATTTCACATTATAAATTATACCAGTTGAACCTTATTTACACTTTTAGTTTTTTGCACCAGAGAAACTATTCAGTATTTACTCGTGTGTCCTATTTATTTCAGTGTGCATTCATATATCTATAAATGACTCTAGTTTCTCATTCTTTATGGCTCAGTAGAACTCCATTTTATAAAGAAACCATATCTTTTTTATCCATTCTCCAGTTGTTGGGCAATTGGGCTATTTCTGAGTTTTAGCCATTACAAACTGTGCTGCTATAAATGAAGGTGCTCCTATACCACTGTTCTATGGCTCTTTTAATTTTTTTGGAAAGATACCCAGCAGGGGAATAGCTGGGTCGAATGGGATCGCTACTCTCAGTTTTTTGAGGTATCTCCGTATTGATTTCCACAGTGGTAGCGCCAATCTGCACTCCTATCAACAATGGAGAAGGGTTTCATTCTCCCCACAACCCCACCAGCATTGTTATTGGTTGATTGCTTGACAGCAGCCATTCTTTCTGGGATGAGTTGGAATCTCAGTGTTGTTTTCATCTGCATCTTTTGAATGACCAGTGATGTTGAACATTTTTCATGTATTTATTTACTGCTTTTACCTGTTTGTCTGAGAAATGTCTGTCCATTTCAGACAC